AAGTTGCTTAACTTTGTAAGAGAAGCAGTGTTTCAATGCAATGTGGTTGTAAACTGCCATTTAGCTGGAAGGTAGGGAATTCTAGTTATGGATTTATTATTGTCAGGTTACATTCGATATTCCAGGCAGTCATGGATAGAGTAAGTGTTATATAGAAATAAAGTGTTGTTGCCAACACTGAAGTTTGAACACAGATCACCAGTAAGCGAACACAGGTGATTTCATATCTAATAAGTAGACCACCTGATGATAAATGAAATGTATATAAGTGAATTAGCGTGACATCTAATGGGTCACTATTTCTACTCTATCCTTTATTACTATACGGATCATTGAGCAGGTGACCGAGTGGTTAGAATGTTCGTATTCTGACAAGGAGATCCCCGGTTCGAATCCCACTATAGTCTATTTGTCGATCAGGAGACTTCTTGATGTTATCGGATTGGAGGGTGTGGCACCTTTAGAAAGTGCCTGAAAACCATACCACGGGTTGACCCAAGCCTTGTGTGTGAAATTGGGTAGATGGAACCCTTTCGTGGCCGTCGATAGCAGTGTTAGCACGAAGTCACAAGTCCTGGCCTTGTTCAAATTGTTGATCACATTAGATAACACGCACTTTACCAGAAATTGTAACTAAGGTTTACTCAGCAAATTTGCAGTATAAAATACATGTGGGCTCTGTGGGCGTTGAATAAGCACAAATGCGCCTGAGCAAGCGTCTCCAATAGGGATTGTAGCCAGCACATCCGGAGACGAATCTCCAACTAATTGCCGAAGCAAGGATATTTACCTTACCTCCCCGCTAGGCAGGGTGTGGCACAAGGCCGTTTTAATGCGGCGCAAAACCGACTCCGTAGGCTCGGGAAAAATTTCCCGTAGACCCCATATACACGGGATCGGGTAGTTGTCTACCACCCCAGACGAGATTCTGCCCGAAGGCATAGCCTCGTCTGGGTTCCTCTCTGCTCGAAGGCTGAGAGTTCGACCAGCATAGCTGGAGACGAATCTCCAACTAATTGCCGAAGCAAGGATATTTGCCAACCGCCCCACGCAGTCAGGTGTGGACAAGGACGAATTTAACGTGGGGTATCCGAGCCCGTAGGCTTGGGCAAAAATTTCCCTTAGACCCCGTAAAAAACCACTCAGTAGACTTAGGAAGTCTTTTGGGCACTTCGACGTGGTGTAATGGTTAACAAGCTTGTCTCGCTAGATCAGTTACGACTGAAAAGTGAGTTCGATCCTTACTAGGCTCCCCATACTTTCGGGCTTGTGCCACATTTAAGATACGCTTAGAAAATCACCATTCTGTTGTCCTCACGTTTTGCGCAGGTGAGAGTCTATTTAGCATTTCTTCCTAGGCGGAACCTTATATTCTTTATGTAGCGACTAGCCCGCTTTAATATTTAATCCTTGCTTTCGCAAAGTTGCTCATACCAGTCAGTATATTTTCTTCTAAATAGACCTTCCAGACTTAAGATCTTCAGTCTTGGGTAGGACAATAAGCTACATCCGCGATACATTATTCCACCAAGCCTCCTTCGAAAACAAAACCTAAAAAAGACACTTGAAATTCATGTTTTTCCGATGGATTTCCTTAAAAAAAAAAAATGTCGAAAAGTTACTTGCTTGCGTCTGGAGAAGAAATCATATTAACTTGGAGCAAGTTTCAAATTATTTTCTTCCTAAGCAGTGGAAATAATATAAATTCAGGTTGCGATGGATAAATTGTCGTCTAATTGACGCAAAAATGAAAATAACGCTGGCATCTCATTTTAACAGATGTACAGACTGCGATTGATAAATTGTCGTCTCAATGACGCAAAAATGAAAATAACGTTGGCATCTCATTTTAACAATTATTTATTAAAGTCACACAGAAATATCTTGAAATACTAAAGATTAAATTTATTCAATATAATCGCCATTGACTTCAACCACAGCCTCTATACGACTTCGGAATTTCCTGTAACTCTTCTAGATGGTCTCTTTGATTAAGTTGATGAATGCTGCCATAATTCTTGCCGTCAGTTTTTCTTTGGTGTTACAAGGAGTTTTGTTGGTTTCTCGCTCAACTGCGCCTTACACATAATAATCAAGGGGGTTTGCCCTATTTCTCTTAATCTCTATTCTACCAACCACTTACACAATCTTCTTAGTTAGGTTAATGGCTGTTTCTCTCAATCCATCTTGCCTTCAGTATGTCATGTGAGTGTCAAATTCTCCAAGCCCACTTTCCTTATTATCTGCCTTAGAAATTTCAATTATCTCTTTCTGGTGTTAAGGATAAGTATTGTTTTTGTTTTAATATTCCCTAAAAATTCGTCGTTACCCACATGTTCGGTCCAGGATATCCTCAGCATCCTTCTGTAGAATCACATGTGTGTTGCTGCAAGTCTCTTCTTCATTTCTGAAGAGAATGTCCAGAATTTGTTCTTTACGAATAGCAGTTCAGCGCCCTTTTCTTTGTTCATAATGTCATTTTCTTGTTTCTTAATGCTTTGCTTCGCTTTTGGAAGACATTTTCGCTATTCCTATGCGCTTTCGGATTTGGGCGTCACTGTTTCCGTCATCCGCTATAACATTCGCTCGATATATTGATTATTTAAAAAGTTTTTATGAGAATTTGTTGTTAAATTCGGAGTATTTATTGCTAAATTTGGAGTTCAAATTACAGACTTTATTGAAATTGGAAAACTAACTAAATCAAGTTGCGATATTAATTAAACATACAAACGCATTTCTTTATGATGGCGATGATGATATGACAAGAGTCATTATTAAAGCTGTTTTATCATTAGATTATAACGAAAGGTTCCTTTATTTTATTTTATTTTAATCTAAAAAGGTTCCTATCAAAAGTGGCCTTTTCATTACGATGTTGTAATTCTTGTTTTTGTTGTTTAAGAAAAGAAATAAAATAGCCAACACAAACCTTTGATCGTTGGAGAGATAGTAAAATTAGATCTCAATTATTTTCTCAAGTTTTCCTGATTTGCTATTTGATACAATCCTTTACGAATAATTTTACCAGAAACCTAAAAGAAAGGAAGCTTTTCTTAGAAAGTTATTAAGCGTATTACATTAAAAGAGCTTTCCTCAATCTATGAGCCGTGTTCGAGAGTACACTCTTTTGTCTCAAATAGTGAGGAGGTTCCTGGGATATTCTTAATGTACCTATCGGTATTCATTTTAATAATTACTAATGCTCCTATTATTACTGGGATATTGGCTGTGTTTAAATATGAAGAGAAAAAGAGATATTTTACAAAACGATACATCAAATGCGTTGGTTGGCCACTGTAACGGGACTGACGACAATTTTGACATAAAAAATGTTAATCTGATCAAAGGAGAGAAACAATTCATTAAGACAAAAAATGTCTAGAAAGTGCCTTGATCGCAGGTCATCTCCAGAAAATTTGCGACAGGGCTCTTACAACAGTTCACCATTCCTGGAAGAACTTTTATTATCACAGAAAAAAAAGGAACTAAATGAAATCAGTTACCTAAAATAAATAAATAAATAAATAAATTAAAATTCCCAGAATCCCTCTCTCGTGCGCATGCGTATTCGCACCATCATAAAAATTTAGTCAGATGAGATCCCAAAGGACAAAATTCGTCACAAGAAAACTTTCCATTTTGTCATACACTTTCCCAAATTTTATATATATATATATATATTTATTTTTTTCATGCTGAAACGTTCTTTTTATACAAATATTTAAGTAAATGCTCTGTTTATAATAAACAATATTAACATGTCCGAGAAATTTTCATAGAAAATATGCATCCTCCAACAGGAATCGAACCTGTATCCTATACGGAACCGTCATATAGCCTGACGTGCGTTAACCGATTTGGCCACAGAGGAGCGTTCGGTTAGTAAGGTCGATTTTACTAGTTTTTTTTTATATATATATATATATATATATATATATATATATATATATATATATATATATATATATATATATATATATATATATATATATATATATATAAATTTGTAACTTAATTGATGTTAGATTCAGCTTTATCCGTAACTTGACTCTAGATTAGTGGTTCTCAACTGGGGTTACATTATTGGGCTCCACACACAAAAATAGCAAATTGGGGTTGAGGAGGGTCCACAATAATATTTTAGTGGTCCATAAGTTAAGTTCTTTACAGAACGTTTGTTACAATTGAGAATTAAAATTTCTACAGTAATCTACGCCATACTGAAATACTAAAATAGAAAAAACAACTCTAAAATTAACAGAAAACGAGTTCAAGCGGTGTAAATTAGCGTCCCTTTTACTCTTCCGGATGTAAGAAAATTAAAATGGTTTATCTATATTTCTGCGATGAGGAATTATGTACTTTATTCGAACTATTGTCCTCATCTTTGTCGCCATATTTATTACAACTATTCGGCCATTCTGTTTATAATAAACAGTATTAACAACATTTACCGACCTGAATGTAAAATATGCGTCCTCCTAACCGATTGGAATGTCGAACTGAACCCTTTATTTTGCTCCTTGGGGTTCTAGTTCTCTCCTCTGAAAACTGCCTTAACCGGGTATTGAACTCACGCCCTTTGGGTCATGTCACTGGATCTAACCAGCGCCTTTATCCACTGTGCCATATGTCCTTGAGAACATCTGTGCATGAATTTCTGGGTATTATAAACCTAATATCTTCAGCATCAATTTTTTACCAGTATTGCAATTTTTGCTGTTACCATTGCATGTTTTTTACCAGATGAGTAAGAGTGGACAATAGTCCGAATAATGTAAATAATGTAAAATGGTTATGAGTTATTTTACTAGTGTATCTTAAGGTTCGATAGAATTTAGTTGTTAAATACAAGTTCATTTTCATTAAATTAGTTCTACTTCAAAATAAAGCATATAATGGTCATGGGTGCGGGTGTCTACAGAAAAAAATTAAGAGTAAAACATTAATTCATTGGCGATTCCTTCATCCCGTTTATTCGATGGGTGTCTTTTCTTATGTGGTTTACTGACGAAGGAGTACGTCCACTTCCCGAAAAAGTGAATATTGACATTTATACTAAGTTAAAACTTTATGACCATTCCAGATTCCCTGTACACAACCCTCCCTCAATCCATAATACTTCTATTGTTTTTTTTCTTTTCTCTTTCTTTCGAATAGTTTTACTTCCCCTTTATATACCCCCCGCTCTGTAACCCTCTACTATACGAATTCAAATTGGTGTAGGGTATGCACCTGCATCCCCGAGCAACCCTCATTACACAGCCCTTCCCCCAATAGGTCTTTTAGTCCCTTAAGTACATGAGCGAGCTTGTCTCAGTGCCTTTAGATCTCGGACCGGAGTTCTATTGCTGTGACTTCTGCACAGTCGTGACATAGCCATTCAGAGCATCACACATATATTTTCTTTTCTTGGGTTGATTGTCTCTTCATTAAACTACATTTCTGGACAATTCTTTCGAAGGTACTTGGAACCCCTGCGAGTGTTTGTTTCACTTCTCACTCGTCTGCAAACAACCTATAAACACAGGAAACCTGTCAAAATGCAAATGAACAAAACTAGCAAACCTAACCTTAAAAAAACAAAAAACAAACAAACAAAAAAACAAAACAAAAACAAAACAAACAAATCAAAACGAAAAAAACAAAGTAGACCTCATGCATACCATTTCCTACACCAACGTGAGGGGAGCTACGTTCCAACTTTTCAGAAGTGGAACGCCATCTTCTTCAGACTCACCGCTTCAAGCGTACTACCGGAGTTTACAGTCCCGGGCGACGCCCCTCTTATAGCTAAGCACAACCACCTAAAACGCCACGCCCACGGACTAGGAACATACCTCAAGGACGAGTTTCGCTGTGGCAGAGACACAAAAAACGATAAACCTGATCTCCGATCTATGTGCTTCCGCGTGGCACTTATCCATAGTACCACATTCGTCTTTGCTCTCTATCACCCTCAGAACGAAGGGATGGTAATCTTTGGGGATAAAACGGTAGTGAGCGGTGGAATGGGCGGTTGACAATCGCTTTCATTGTATTCAATTGTGTGTTTTATTCGATTTTCCCCGGGTCTCGTATAATTTCCCACTCGATTTAGGACCAAACATAGCACGTTTTTTAACACTTCCTCACTGTCACACTACCTAGCTTTTTATAATTTGCATTTAAAGGGAACAGTAGGTCAGAAAGTTAAAGTCCTCAATTTTCTCTTGTCAGACCAGCCTTGAAGCTTCAAACATTTTCACATTGTGACATAGACACAGTATCATATTAGGTTAAATATATGGCTTAAACTGGCGTTTGGTAATCACCCTCGTTGTTTCATTGTGGGCCTTATCAGTTGAGTCACTGCATTAGTCTTCATGGTTCTATTCAAACCAATAACCCCCAAATTCGTCTGTGCTTCTTATTGAAGATTAAACAAACTGTTTCTCAACAGGAAAAACATTCTTAAAGTATTAAATAGCACAGCGCATATGATCTGCATTGGCTAATTTTATTGTACCTAGTAGCCGACTACTTATCAGCTACAGCCAGTTGAAACACCGTTCGATAATGGAAGTTAAGCAACGTATTAGAAGTTAATTTGAGAACCACGACTACAATATATTACAGGTTCATATTCCGTCCTCTTTTCTAATCCTCTTCCCAATTTTTTCTCCTTGCTTTCAAACCGGCTCCCAAAGTCTTGTTCCTTATCAGAGATAAAGATATATTTTCTGACGAACGAGAGAGCTGAAAAATATAAAAAGGAGTTTGAACATCATTATCCTGCCCTTGGTGACATAAAATCTGGGGGAGACGCTCGCAGCTTGTCGGACCCTTGACGGCTCTCAAAGCCTTTTTCTTATCAGAGATAAGAATATATTTTCTACCGAATGAAAGGGCTAGGAAATTTGTATAGCAATTTTGGAAGGAAAGAACCCCGATATTTTTTAACCTCTTGATCTCCATATATACGGAGAATCTTCGCTTCTTTGACAGTGAGTAATCGACAACCGTCTGTGATAATAACAGGCCGGTGACAGAAAAGCAGTCATCTTGAAGAAAGAACTACCTACTATGGGTATTTCAGAAATAACGTCGGACCACTACTAAAAATCATTTGAGATCTACCTCCTTTGCACCTGTCGCCGGCTTGTAAACTCATCCAACGACGAAATTCGTATCTTCCGACAGCTTCCTCCTCTACAATCTCTGAACAAATCTGTGCGCGTTAAAAACACGCACAGATTTTTAACAATCTACTACTCGCTTAAAGAACTTTTTTTTCTTCTTTTAAAGTTAAATGAATTTCTTCTCCCTTTCTTTCTCTGGTAATTGTGTATATCTTTATAGTGTTCTTTGTGCATGTGAATAAACATTTTCTTCTTTTATTGTTACACCCTGAGTAGGAGTCTGAGTTTGTATTCTTCTGCCTAAAAAGAGAGAATTGTCCGCTCTAATCTTTCAACCCGTTGTTGCTTTTTTTTCCCCAACTTTGTCGCATTTTTAACCTCAAACCTTTCATGTGAGAAAGCCGGGACAAATTTCTCACAAATTTTGTATTTAGTCAATCTTGAACCCTGAATAATACCAGGTGCATTAATCTAAGTGACGGGCCTAGGAAGACAGCGATGGACACAATCTCGATACTTATGCTAAAAGAAGGCCACAATATGTGGAAGTGCTTCTGGACTGACAGATCGCAAGACAAACCTACAGTTAAAACTTGTTAGCGACAGAGAGGGCGAAGTGGATAGGAGAAAGTTCCCGAGGAGAAAGTTGCACTGAAAAATTTTCGACGAAGAGACATCTTTTCTTACCAGGACATTTCGCCTTCACGCAAATTGCTAAATCCTTAATTCACGGGCCAACGAAGAGGCACAGCAACGTAATTTTTCCTTTTCCTCAGATATCTCGTATTTGAGAAGTACAATATATTTCCAAAAACATGTTTATTAATTTGGAGATTTTCCTTATAATCTTTAACCGTGACGTATTTTCCTGCATTTTATACACTTACACACAATGTTACATTTTAGTTGTAACTTCAAAAAATTTATGCATTTTCCAACATTGTCATGAATTCCCTAAAGTTATACGACATATTTCTTTATTTGTCAATTTACGATTCATTTTAGACATTCAGTCAAATTGGCTATTAAAATGAAGTTTCGATATTCAGGACATTCCATGAAGATAGCTGCCGACATTTATTCTAACTGCGCATATCAATGTTATCTAATTTAGCAAATAAACCTATAGATGGCAATATGCATTTATATAACAATAAACCATGAAGTTACTAATAATTTTGGAGCCAACGTATTAATAGCTGAGTAAACTCATGAAGAAGAAGCATCGATTTCACAGTAAAAGTAATCTTCTTTGCCAATGCACTCAATCCAGTGCCGAATATTAATCACGTACATCAAACATTATACAGTAAAAAAATTATATTAAAACCAAGCAAATAATTACTTAACACTAGGTTCTCGTTGACACAACTGTTTATATTTTAAATATGGCTACAATAATTTATTTTACCTATATATTTATTTTTAATATATATATATATATATATATATATATATATATTACGATAAACGTGCAATCAATTTACAAATTCATGAATTATTCACACAAAAACTAATGCAAAGGTTAATGATTTAATTGACGAGAAATCCATCATCGCAAACAATTCAAATAATATAAAAACCTCCGAATCCGTTATGAATGAAATGTGAATTTGTGTGAATAATTCATGAATATATATATATATATATATATATATATATATATATATATATATATATATATATATATATATATATATATATATAATATAAATATAATGAAATTTTTTTCCACTTTGTCATATATTTTTCACGCACAAACACACACACATATACACACACACGCACACGCACACAAACACACATATGCATATATGTATATATATATATATATGGAAAGAGAGACAGACTTACTGATCTCAGTGTCCGATTTTATATTAACACACGTTCTGTCCTACATATTCAGCACTTTTACCAATAAATATAGCATACCTTAAAACTTTATATATATATATATATATATATATATATATATATATATATATATATATATATGGTTGAATTTGATGTACAATTTTATATGCATTTTTTTGCGTTTTGTAATTCAGTTGCCTAATACACACACACACACGCACACACACACACACACACACACACACACACACACATACACACACACACACATACACACACACACACACACACATATATATATATATAGTTTGGTGCAAAAATAACGACGTAAGAATGTCGTTTTTTGACGTTAAAAAATACGTCAAAAAAGACATTATTACGTCGTTATTTTTGCACCAACTTAATATATAGGGCTCTGGGCACTTTGATGTGGTGTCATGGTTAGCAAGTTTGGCTCGCTAGGACAATTACGGCTGAGTAGTGAGTTAGATCCTCACTGGGTGCCCCCTAATTTCGGCCTTGCGCCACATCTAAGCTACGCTTGGAAAACACTATATCCTCACTGGGTGCCCCCTAATTTCGGCCTTGTGCCACATCTAAGCTACGCTTGGAAAATCACTATATATATATATATATATATATATATAAAAGTGAGGTATTTATTTCTTCCCTCAAAGTTTAGACTATGTTTTTTTTTTCGTTCTGTCCTTGTAGCTTTTACCAAATTTATTTTTTGGCATGCAACTTTGTAGAGGAGGATTGTAAGTTTTTTTCTGCTTCAAAGATACGGAAAAAAAACTTTTTTTTTCTTCCGATATTTAAAACTGCGCATTTCTCAATTGAAATTTTATGGAAATTACGAAATATTTGCTTTCATAAGAAAAACATGCATGTGGGATTATACAACCACCCACTCTCTTTCTCTCTCTCTCTCTCTCTCTCACACACACACACACACACACACACACACACACACACACACACACACACACACACACACACACACGTATCTATGTGTGTATGTGTGTGTATTCATAAATATATATATTTAATATATATAAGCATATATATATATATTTATATATATACATATATAAGAATATATATATATAAATCTACATAGATATATAAGCGTGTGTATATATATATATACATATATATAGCATAAATATAAATAAGCACATATGTATGCACGTATAGATATATACGTATATATATAATTATATATATATTTATACATAAGCAAAATATATATAAGCATGTATGCATGTATATATATATATATATATATACATATATACATATACATACATACATACATATATATATATATATATATATATATATATATATATATATATATATATATATATTATGTGTATTAACGTATAAGGATAAATATTTTTGTAAACGTTTTCGTTATCCCACCAACCCCAACATAAAACATCTCTGCAGACAAGCCTAAGACTGTTACAGATAAGAAATGGATAAATTCGATTTCAAGTCAAAGAAGATTGGGAGGGGGTGATTGGTTGCGATACTTCGAAGTATATAGCGATTAAACGAAACATTACAATTAACTTGAAGTCATTGTGTATTTTGTAAGACGAAACCCATTCAGATATAATTTAACTTTAAGTTAAATTGATTCAGGAGTCTTTATTATTAAATTCTTCTTGAAATATTATTATTATTATTATTGTTGTTATTATTATAATATTATAATTATATTATTATTATTATTATATATTATTATTGAGTCCTTCTTGAAATAGTATCATTTATCCTTGTCTTCCCACAGAAACGGGATGTGACACAAGGTCGGGTTTAATATGGTGAACCTGAGAGCGTACACCCGAGCAAAGGGCAAAAGGTGCTCAATCCACACAACCGCCGGTTGCGCTGGCCTCGGTATGACGACCGATCCAACTTCGAGTCCATTGGGGGTGACGGTTGCCGCATGGGGGAGCTGTGGCCCAGGATCAGGCACTTCACAGTATTTATTATCTTTAGTTGTGTCTCTGTCCGGAGATAGAGCCACGTCTGAGTCACACTCTGGCCGAAGACAGAGCTACAACTTAGTCGCACTCTAGCCGAAGATAGAGTCACAACTAAGTTGCACTCTGTCTAAAGACAGAGCGACAACTGAGTGCACTCTAGCCGAAGGCAGAGTCACAATTGAGTCGCACTCTGGCCGAAGACAGAGCCACAACTGATTCACTCTGGCCGAAGACATAGCTGCAACTGTCGCACTCTAGCCAAAGATAGAGCCACATCTGAGTCACACTCTGACCGTAGACAGAGCTACGACTAAGTTTCACTCTAGCCGAAGACAGAGCTACAAATGAGTCGCACTTTGGCCGAAAACAGAGCCTCAATTGAGTCTCACTCTAGCCGAAGGCAGCCACAACTGAGTCGCACTCTAGCCGAATTCAGAGATACAATTGAGTCGGGCTCTGGCCGAAGAAAGAGCCTCAATTGAGTCGCACTCTAGCTGATGGCAGAGCCACAACTGAGTCGCACTCTGGCCGAAGACAGAGACGCAGCTGAGAGATAATAAATCCTACCCGGCATAGTACCAAATTGTAAATGAAAAATCCACCTCCACTAAATCATCACATTCTTCAGGTCTTCGTGATAGATCTTGAGAATTCTCTAGATTGTTAAACATGTTAGGTCGTTCCATTACGCACTATATTCATCAGGGATATTAATTTTGGAAGGTATCAGGCAGGAATTGGAAACTATTTCGGACAGAATTTCTTTTTGGACGATCATACGGTAGGATTACATGTAAAACTAAAGTATATTATATACAATCATCCATCACTGAAATTCAAGATGTAGAATTAGTAAATACAGTAGAATCCCTCATATCCGGAATCCCTCATATCCGGAATCCCTCATATCCGGAATCCCACATATCCGGAATCCCTCATATCCGGAGTGACTCATATCCGGAATCCCACATATCCAGACATGATTTTGATATGTAACTAGTTTGAAATTTCTGTTTTTCTGGAAATTTACTTGGGATAATTGCTTATGTAAGCATAAACAATTTAACCCTAATGGCTTGCATTGATGCAAAAGATGATGGGAATAAGTGGAAGGGATGACAATGAGACACATCTGCAACAAGATAGCAACGAGATCCATGATTGTTATAAAACCTGGACTGAAATTGAAATTAAAAAGGTTGTCAGTTTTATGGAAAGAATAGCCAGCATTCAGCTATGACGATTACAATTTATTATAAACTGTATTAACAATATTTAACGGCCCGAATGTCTGAGGAATTTCATAGAAAATATGTGTCTTCCCACAGGAATTGAACCTGTATCCTACACGGAACCGTTATATAGCCTGACGTGCTATACCAGTTTAGCTACGAAGGAGCGTCTGGTTAGCAATAAAAGTTTAAAAGCCGTAAAATTGACATTTCTAACCAGGCTCCCCTTCGTAGCTAAATTGGTATAGCATGTCAGGTCAAGTGACAGTTCCGTGTAGGATGCAGGTTCGATTCCTTTTTGGGGACGCATATATTCTAAGAAATTTCTCGGACATTTAGGCCGGGAAATGTTGTTTAATACTTTTTATTATAAACAGAGCATTTACTTAAATATTTGTGTCTATATAAATAAGGTGTAACAATAAAATATATTATGGGATGTATACAGATATGGGCAAAAATACTCTTATTTACAATCGCTCTCACTTACTGTGTTCATGTTCCACACGAGCCAATATAGAAATTACATTTCTCATATTTCTACGAAAAAAATATCATTCTTCTTAAACTTGAAAGAAACGCTCTTCTAAACTGTCTCAACATTGAAATAAACTCAATAGCTTACTTTCGTACAGAATAGATAATCGAACATTCCGTTTCGCTGTCTGTCTGTAAATTAAAAAAAAAAAACGTCTGTCTGTGTGTCTGTCATTTTGTGCGCTAACGATTAAGTTTCCTTCTTAATTGCTTCTTGGGGAAATGAATTGAGCTGTAAAGCAAGAGAAAAAGAGCGAAAAATAGGCAAAAAACAACCAAAAAATTACAAAACAAAACAAACAAAAACATATTAAAAATACCAAAATAAGAATTACAGGAATTTAGGTCACATGTACTAAATAAAGTGCTCAAGGTCTCAGTAACGTCTTTTTTTTTATGAGGGTGGAGGGTGGGTTGCCACCACCACCACCACCACCACCAGCAGCACAAGCACAACCACCACCATCAATACTCTTCTTCGTAGCATCAGCAACAGCACTCTTGCCATTGCAGGAGGTGCTTGAGCATTTTTTGGGCATTGAACAAAAACACTGTTGGGGTTCTTTGCAACTGATTACGAAACAGGCATTATAAAAAAAATCAAAGAAATACTATATATATATATATATATATATATATGTGTGTGTGTGTGTGTGTGTGCAATATCCCATATATATGAAATATCAGACAGAAATATATATATATATATATATATATATATATATATATATATATATCAGACGCAAATCGTAAATTCATAATACAGTTTTATGACGTTGTATCACGCGAAAGAACGAAATATTAACAAGAGAGTTATATGCAATATATATATATATATATATATATATATATATATAATTATTTATTCAAATTATAACATAAATATGATTTCATAACATATTTATGTTATAATTTTTGATTTTATAACATATTTATGTTATAATTTTCGAATAAATAATTGTATTTGCTCTACTCTGTATTGAACACTCTTTTAAGAATATTATTTTCTGGTTATTGGAATTTATTCCGTATACACCAATCCTATACTTGCATATATATATTCTTTTAAGAATATTATTTTCTGGTTATTGGAATTTATTCCGTATAAATTCCAATAACCAGAAAATAATATTCTTAAAAGAGTGCTCAATACAGAGTAGAGAAAATACAATTATTTATATATATATATATAAACTTTTATCACCAGTCCAAGAAAGACATTTAAACAATTACTACGCAAAAAATTCATTTTTATAATCTGTGGAAATACTCTTTGCATGAAGAAGGTCGTGAAACCAGAAACCCGTGTAGCAGAATTATGCAAAATAGTCTGCAATATATATTTTAAAATGAAATTCCACATTTCAACCAAAAACCTTTGCGGTTTATCTTCTTTTTAAAATATAAACTTTTCTCTCGTTGGAACAACTATAACCTCTTCCCTACATATATGCACACACACACACACACACACACACACACACACACACACACACACACACACACACACACACACACACACAGAGGCATACACAAACATATATTAATTAAATAATAGAGAAATACAAATTTACCTCATGAATATAATAGAGTATTTCAACTAACGTCAATGCGTTATCATTTTTCGACTGAAATGGTTGACTAATTCTGTGTTAGAAACTTAAAATTAAATGTTTAAAAAAAGACGACAGCAGTTGAAAAATTGATACTGAGCAAACCAAACAAAACGCCCGAGTGGTAGTAAGGGAAGGGCAGATGTTGTCTGGTTGTCAGTTTCACGCCTGAAGTGATCATCAGACTATGTTGATCGCTAAAGACTGACAGTTCAGTAATTCTATTGTCTGACAAGTTGGATTTACTTGTACGTATTTTTCTTTTTATGATTAATATTAATTGCTGAATTAAGTGCCTTGACAGTAAAAGAGAGAATGTTTAGAAAACAATTATTTGTTATTTAAAATCAAATCTTTTTTATTAGTAGTTTGCGGACCTATAGATATACCAATCAATAAATGTCTGCATGCGCAGAATTTTACCATTCAATTTCTTATCACTTATAGTATTTTACCCCTCAGTTTGTTCATATCTATCTATCTATCTATCTATCTATCTATCTATCTATCTATCTATCTCAGTCTGTTCAATATCTATCTATCTATCTATCTATCTATCTATCTATCTATCTATCTATCTATCTATCTCAGTCTGTTCAATATCTATCTATCTATCTATCTATCTATCTATCTATCTGTATGCATGTATAAATATCTGTATATCTATATCTATGTATAAATATATCCTCTCTATATAAATATTTACAAATGTATATCCTCTCTCTCTCTATATATATATATGTGTGTTTGTGTGTGTGTGCGTGTGTGTGTGTGTGTGTGTGATTCGCAGACAGTACTGTTTCGCTGTATCACAGCTCGTCAGCGCGACTAGACACCCGAATACCTCAAGTCCGGATCGAAACCCAACCGATCAGTCAGAATTTCTACCACTGAGCTATCTTATGTATGGATATATACTCTGTACCAAGCGACTTTTGAAGACCTAATTTTGAAGACAATTTTAAGGAGGGGGGGGTCACATCATACACGTAATATAGAATTAGCATTCTACTGCTGGCCGAGGTTACAGCGTTGACCAAACTATATATAGCATTTACTGTAGTCAAATTAGCTTCAAAATTAGTCCTTCAAAAGTCGCATGATACGCGTGTACATACGCTATATATATGTATACACATAAGAACAATCACATACATTTATATACGCACACACACATAAATATATACACATATATATATGTCTAAACATATATATATATATATATATATATATGCACACACATACATATATACATATATATATATATATATATATATATATATATATATATATATATATATGTGTGTGTGTGTGTGTGTGTGTCTAAACAAATAGATATGGGACATACAGAGGTACCCACAAGCATACACACATACATTTAGATTCATCATGTAAATTACCGGAAAAATAGATAAAATGAATTCCTCAGGCGCTTTCAGCATTGCCTTTGCCTCTCTCTCCCTGTGTTTCAGGTCGATCCATCGAAAGTCTATCGACTGATCGATCAGCAGTTTAATTAAATGGTTGCCTGTAGATATTGCGCTCGATAGAAAAATACACATTTATACGATGGTATTACTCTCTTTGATTTTGCCTTGCCTTTTTTTTTTTACTCTGCTTACTCAAGTCTGGCGCATGGTTACAATATTGGAGTGCCCAGTAAGGCTGACAATATATGAAATAACTTGAATATTAATTTTCTAAACAGTCATCCGATCATATCAACCCATAAGAGTTTGCGTTGGAAAATTACTACCGATCGTGCCAGCCAGGGATCGTCCTGGGTATGGTAAGGCCTCCGATGGGGGAAATTGTTGGTTTTGAGAAGCGTGGAACCACTTCTTAATTGCTGTTGTTTCTTGGTTCACCTTGACCAGGGTGGCAACACCTTTTAGGGTTCCAGCTATGAGCAAATAGTAAACCTCCAAACTAAACCTAAACACTATGAAAGTAGAAAAATACATTTTTATAGTAAAATTACTAACATACCAACAATTCATATTCATAGCAAAATGAAAAGCTATACATTTAATAGTAAAATAGATTTACTTGGAGACGGCGGCCCAGATACCAAGACAAGCTCGTAGACACTGAGAGAAGTATATAGAGATGCCTATACTGAGGGGATCCTTTGGGAAAAGGAGAGTAACGAATGCTGCTTGGGGATGAACTGACAAACCCTACCACAGTTTCTTATAGGGTTAATTTAGCAGTAAGGAAGTACCTATATAGAGATTATATGTGTCCATATAATTACAATTGTAAGAACGGGAATCAATCTATATATTAAAGTTTTAAATTGCTTCAAACCAGAATGGCTTCTACCTAAGCGAGAAGAGTTGAAATTAGTAGTAGAAGCAATAGAAAATATACAATTTAACATACCTTATTTTTTTCTCATTCCTCTTCGTAGATAAGCTTCTAATCATCAACTTCCAAAAATTCTTTTATTCTTCCCAGCAATCTCGATTCATTTGTTTTTTAATGGATTAAATGACTTCTTTTGCTTCTGATCAAGGCAACTGAACTCGGTTGAAAAACAAATATTTGAATAATAAGAACTATACGTGTAGATACATCAACCAGAATCGATACATGAAATTCTCAGCATCTTTCTGTAGAATAACATCTTCGTTGCTTCAGTTCTCTTCATCTATGAGTAGATTGCCCAGGATTTATTTACTGATCTCATTTTGGAGAACCGATATTTTTCTATAATGGGAAGTTTAGATAATGTACAGGGTGGTCCGAAAGTCTCGTCACCCCAACGTTATATAATTTTCCATTTCAGACGGCTGACATGAAAACGATGCAGTTCATACAGACCTTCTCGATGTATAGCAGCTAAAATGAAAGTGAATAAACTGAATCCAGAACATGTGCTTTGTATTACTGTATTTACTTGTTCTCTTGTTCTAGTTACTCAGGGGGTTGTGCAAGACTTTCAGACAACGCTGTAGATTTTATTCGAGATCGAAATGTTACCACTTCTTTTCCTCTAATATGTGCCGTGTCCCTTCGGGACCTGGACAATGATAGCTTTCAAAAACTTCCTGTCCTTTATAGCTCTTATCTGGCTACACTCAAAATTGGGATAGTGGCCCGAAAGTTTTGTCACTCCTACATAATATAATTGTCTATTTCAGATGGCTGACATGAAAATAATGGTGTTCAGATAGACCTTCTCGATGTATAGCAGCATCAATGAATCTGAATAAACTGAATCCAGTCCAGTGTGCTTTGTATTAATGGTGGTTCTATTCTCAATACTTTTTGGTGGGGATGACAAGCCTTTCGGACCACTCTGTACTGTACTTTCGGACCACTCTGTCAATGAATGTAAATAAACTGAATCAAGTACACGTGCTTTGTATTACTGTATTACTTGTTATTCTATGGTTTCATTACTTTTTTGGTAGGTGAGAAGAATGTCAGACGACTGTATATATATATATATATATATATATATATATATATATATATATATATATATATAATATTAGTGTAAATATACACATACATATGCAAAATATATAAATATATATACATAGATGCATACATATACATATATATTTTTGAATAAAAATTCAAGAGGATAGAATCCAGGTAGAACTCAATGTCCAGGACAGAGTAAGGATATAATAAAAGGTTTAAACACTAATATTCCATGGTCATAATTTATTCCATTGGAATCGTAAATACGATCAATTTATCAGACCTACAAATTCAAAAAGAAAACAGAAAAAACAACTCCGGAACTAAAAATAGAATTTAGAGAGTGTAAGTATGAGAGTGGGACAGATGTTAGAGCTAAAGAGAGGGGTAACAGACGAGAGAAGGTGGGAGATTAAAACTTAACAGAGAGAAGTTTTAGAGAGGTGAGTTGAAGACGGTTTAAGTGTGAGAAATATGAATGTTGTCGGATGTCTAATACATTAAAGATGTAACCGGAAAGGATACATTTTGTGGTGACGTACACACACTTCTATTTTTATTTCCGGAGTTGTTTTTTCTGTCCTGGGTAAAGTGATAAACTACGTCCAACAGCAAGGCCTCTGATAACACATTTTTGAAAAAATAATGTTGCCAGCTGTACGTTTTTGAAAAAATATTACCAGCTATACGTTTTTGAAAAAAATAATATTACCAGCTATACATTTTTGAGGAAACAATATTAACAGAAATAGATTTTTGACAAAATAAAAATATTACCAGAAAAAAAAAAACTGTTGTCGGCATTAAATGACCCATTGAGGGGTTGATATGCCGTAAAACAAACCAAACCAAAACCAAACCTTAATTCTGAGCTGAAATTAGTTCCGAATTAAAATTAATTCTGGCCCCCCCAAAAAAAACCCCCAAAAAAACCCCCAAAAAAACAACAAGGCCTCGTAACGGAATCTAATGGAATTCGAACAATTCGTCAACGAGTCTTGGAGTAGGAAAAACCTGAATTCAACTCTTAGAGAGGTTTTGGCTCCGTTATGCTATAATGTCCAAGATACACCACTGCTTTTCAGTACGGATGTTGCTTCTACGATTCAAATGGATTACCCGACTAGTGATTCTGAATATCGTATAGAAAAGATATATTTTTTAGCTTAAAGCTCACTTTGTAAACTAAATCTTAAACAACCGAAGAACTGATACGCATTTTTTTCTTTATTTAGTCTTCTTCTTCTTCTTCGATTATATGCCGTGTTTCTTCAGTACATAGGCGATCATGGCCCTCCACATCTTCCTGTCCCTTGTATGTCTTAATATATTTTGTCTTTTTGTTATTTCTCCAAAACCCTGTTCTACTATCCATTTACTCAAGCTAATCAAGCATATTACGCGCTCATTTCCTTTGTCCTTCTACCCTCAAACTGTCTTGTGAGTATCAGATTTTCCAAGCCCTCCTTCCACATTACGTTCTCCAGAAATTTCAGCTGCCTCTCCTGATGTTAAGTAGGTTTCCTTTTTCTTTCCATTTCACATGTTCGACCCACGGTATCTTCAGCAACTTTCTGTAGAACCACATATCTGTTGCTTCAAGTCTGTTTTTTTATTTTTGAGGAGATTGTCCAGCATTGTCATTACCATGCAAGAGGACAGATATCACGTAACAGTTCATTACCCCTTTCTTTGTTTCTAGCGAAATTTTCCTGTCTCGGCTTAGCTGTTGGAATGCATCTTTGGTCATCTCAATACGTCTTCAGATTTCCGTGTCATACTTTAGAACATTTCCCAGATATTTAAATTTTGTAGTGGTTTGATTTTCGTATCGCCGATTTGTAATTTGTATCTTGGGATTTTTGTTACCCAGAAAGTGTTACTGAATGAGGAATAACCAAAACGGAGGTTGGAAATGAAATGGTAATCTTTATAACATCAACAAAATACAATACTCGCCAGCGGCGTGAGGTAGGTAAACCACTGCTAGTGGTGCACTAATTAGACGGTATATTAAAGAAATTGCACCCTCAACATTTGTAGGATAAACCGTCGTTTGATTCGACATGCTTAGTCGAACTTCATAATCAATTTGACTTTAAAGCACACTTTACTCGTTCAATTGACGCATTCCTGCTTTGTAGCTTTGTCCTATTACGCAAACCTTTGAAAAGAGGAGAAGAGGAGAGAAAGGCTCCTTAACTAACGAGAAGGGCGCTCAGGAGGAGAGGGTATGTGGTTCTAAAGAAAGAAGCGATCACGAATCGCCTGGCCCCAGTTGTGTTTCTTGGGCAGAATAGCTGGTTTGAATTCTGAGTTAATGTTGTAACCTAGAAAGGGTTACTGAATGAGGAATAACCAAAACGGAGATTGGAAATGAAATGGTATTTATTAAAAGTGGGACATACACATTAATGTTTATAGGTACGATATATAACACTATCTATCTCTCACAGTCTATTCCTTATTTACTTATCTATCTATCTATCTATCTATCTATCTATCTATCTATCTATCTATCTATTGTAACCTAGAAAAGTTTACCGAATGAGGAATAACCAAAACGGAGTTTGGAAATGAAATAGTAATCTTTATAACACCAACAAAATACAATACTCGCCAGCGGCGTGAAGTAGGTAAACCACTGTTAGTGTGGACTACTTAGACACCCTCACTTACAATAGTGTCCAACGTATGCATGAGGGTTGGGACATACCCATTAGTGTTCATAGGTACGGTATATAACAGGGCTTATCCTTCTGTACGGATCAGATGCATTTTTGTCCAAAAGTTGTTAGTTTTTTTAACGGTATGTCTCTTCAGGATGTTGGCATTCATGGCGTCTGTGTGAGTGTTGCATCGTCGAAGTGAATGATACACAGAGAAGAATGAGTGTTTAATATATTTATTCAGCATCAGTATCGGGTGCTAAGGGCTACATACAAAAAACAAAAAACAAAAAAAAAAAAAAAAACAAAAAAACACTGAACAATAAGTTACAAAACAATTAACAAGACAACTTAGAAGGAATAGAGGAGGGTCAAATGCTGTATAGCCAAACGAAGTAAGATCAGTCCGAATATTAATCAACTGAGTATCAACTTACAAATCAACTTATTAAACAGCCGTTGAATTCCTTAATAGTAGACGATTTAAGGCTATGATTATTTCCTAAGCGTAGCTTAGATGTGGCACAAGGCTGAAAGTATGGGGCACCTATTGAGGAACAAACTCACTATTCAGTCGTAATTGATCTAGCGAAACAAACTTGCTAACCATTACACCACGTCGAAGTGTCCAAAAGATTTCCTAAGCGTAGCTTAGATGTGGCACAAGGCTGAAAGTGTGGGGCACCCTGTGAGGATTGAACTCACTATTCAGTCGTAATTGATCTAGCGAAACAAGCTTGCTAACCATTATCCCTATTTAAGGCTATGTGCCAGACCATCTGGTAGTGTGCTGAAGGGGTGCTAGCTACTCTACAACACACAGTTTACCCTTGGAAAATCATAACTACAGTTTCTGGTTATATATATTTGTTCCACAAAACTTTTTTTCGAATGGAAAATGTCATAAATCAGAAAGATTTAAGATCATTTCGATTTTCTCCCATGTCATCTAATGTTTCGAAATTATTGCATTTTCTGTTCAATCAGCGATTCTTTTTATTCTTGTTTTTCTAAACTGATGAAGTCATCCATTTGCTTTCTCATTCATTATTTTTTTTTCATATTCCCTATTCAGAGTTTATGGCAATTGTTTTTTTTCTTTTTTAAAGGCATATTTACGTTTCTTTTCTCCCTTTTCTTCCTTTTAAATTTAATTTTCCTTCTTTCTTTTTTATTGCCAATTTCTTTAGTTTTTATGTAATCAGCTTCTTGCTTCATTTTTTGGTTTGTTTTTCCTTTTTCTTCTGTGTTCATCAGTTATTTCTATAAAGTTGCTTTTAATTTTGTTTGCTTTATTGTTTGTTTCTTTTTCTTTTCTCTCAATTAATATTTCTTTCTTTCTTTCTTTCTTTCTTTCTTTCTTTCTTTCTTTCTCTCAATTAATATTTCTTTCTTTCTTTCTTTCTTTCTTTCTTTCTCTCAATTAATATTTCTTTCTTTCTTTAACTTACTCTTTTTTCTTCTCTCAATTAAACTTTCTTTTATCCCAATTATTCTTCTTTCTTTCAGTTAATCATTTTTCTTTCTTTTACTTACTCTTTCTTTCTTTCTTTTTTGTGCCTTATTTAATCGTTCTTTTTCTTTCTTGTCTCTCAATATTTCTATCTTTCTTTTCTTTCACTTAATCGTTTTTTTTCTTTCTTTTGCCATTCCGTCTTTCCTTCTTTTTTGTCTCTCAGTTAATCACTTTTTCTTTTTCTCCTTTCATTTTTTTTTCTTTCTTTTTTGGCTTTTACTTAATCTTTCCTTTTCTCTCACTTAAAATTCTTTCTTTCTTTCTTTCTTTCTTTCAATTAATATTTCTTTCTTTCTTTCACTTACTCTTTCTTTCCTTTTTCTCTTCTCTCAATTAAACATTCTTTGTTTCTTTCCTCCAAATTAATCTTCTTTCTTTCTTTCTTTCTTTCTTTTTCACTCATCTCTCACTTACTCTTTCTTTCTTTCTTTTTCACTCATCTCTCACTTAATCTTTCTTTCTTTTTCATTCATCTCTCACTTAATCTTTCTTTCTTTTTCACTCATCTCTCACTTAATCTTTCTTTCTTTCGTTCAGACACTCGTATCACAATTAATGTTTTCCCGTTTCTTTCTTTTTCTATTTTCCATTTGTCCTTGATAACATACCACAAAATCACTGGCATATCCGAATGGATAACAATGAACACAGCAGGTGATTGAGACCTTAAATAAAACACACCCTCGGTATTATTCTTACCAACAACCAGTCACGTTATAAAAATTAAAGCTGCTACCCAGTTTTCAACCTCGACAGAAATCAGGCAAAATAGAGAGAAAGTGAAAAATAAGATACATAAATAGGAAATAAGTTGGATTGCTAGATTGCTTTATAGAATAATATACGATAGTGTAATAATAGATAGAAATATATATATATATATATATATATATATATATATATATATATATATATATATATTAATAATGTAAAAACTCGTTTCGAAAAACATCAGATAGAACAACTTGCAGTAGAACAAATCGGTACCAAAGAATATATAATATATATATATATATATATATATATATATATATATATATATATATATATATATTTTGTGTGTGTGTGAATAGATATTGTTTTAATGTATGATATATTTATGGGCGAAAGTCCCCAATATCAGATATAGAGCGTATGTAAATATAAAAAGTGAACATTGAAGTCATCACTCAAAGGCGACAGACTTTTCATTCCGTGGCCTGAGGATTGCATTTAGCATGAAATTGTCTGTCGCCTGTGAGTGTTAACTTCAATGTTCACTCAACAAATACTATTCTTAAAAGAGTGCTCAGTACAGAGGAGAGCAAATATAATTTATTCGAAAATTATAACATGAATATGTTATAAAATCACTACAACAATAGCCATTTTGTTTCAACACTTCTGGTGTCTTATCAAATGATGGGGTTGAATGTAGAATTTTATATTCATATTTATGTTATAATTTTTCGTATAAATTATATATATATATATATATATATATATATATATATATATATGAGTTATGTTGAACATCCGAATAAACTTCGATAGTTCAACATGTAATTCTATTAAAACAAATTGGTACCCGAGTAAAAAAAATTGGAAAAAAGAAAGAACTAGAAACATCCGAACAGGGCGAAAAAATCGTACCATGGCCTTAAGTTTTTAGTCCAAAAAAAAAAACCCAAGCGAGTAATAAAGCTAAAACGTAGAGTGCTCAATACGGTAAGTAGAGCAGAGATAAATGAAATAAATCTTAAAGACCCAGGAACAACCTATCTAAGTTTCACCTAAACGGATCTTCAGGATAAGCTGGCTATATATATATATATATATATATATACGTACCAAAATTTATTACACGCACACACACACACACATATATATATATGCAATACATATGTGTATGTAATCCCAACAGAGTTATAAGTTATTGACATTTGGGGAAACTTTCATGAAAATAGGATTTCTATCTCAAAACTCGGACATTATGACGGCGAATATAAAATGTTAAATGAGCTTTTTTAAAAGTCACTCATTTTCTTTCGCTTTTTAGTCTTGAGAAACGTCAGTTTTGGAAAATAATATATGATTTAATTATTTTAAACACACATAAATGCATACACGCAACACATTTTTTGCTATACATCTGAAGAAGACGTAAAGGCGAAATACATTATCATATATATATATATATATATATATATATATATATATATGTATGTATGTATAAAAGAAAATACAGCTAACACTAAATGAGGTTAATTATCAGTAAACAATGTTTTAAAATGTCTATAACAGCAATGTTTTAAAATACTTAAGTGCTAAATTTAAAAAAAAAATAGTTATATAAATTAAAGTTATCTCCTTTAGATAAACATAGTAGCTTTAACAGTTAATTTTTAAATTAATTATAACGCAGCGCGTGATTATAATTATAATAGAGCGCGTTTCATGCGCATTTACAAAAAAATCCACAACTATCAATTACATTCATTGTCTGTTTTAACATTTCAAACCTGGAGATGATCTTGGATGAGACTAAAAGTAATCAAAATGAAAGAATTAAAAAAAAAGAAACAATGGCACATTCGTTAATGAATTTCACATCAACATTAAGTAATTGATCCGCGATTTCAAGAGGGTTTAAAATATACATATGTCCAGATTATTCAATCAAACATGCTTAAATGAAGATATGCTAGCTAAATACACACACATGTAGACACACACACACACATACATACATACATACATAATATATATATATATATATATATATATATATATATATATATATATGTATGTATGTATGTATATTCCAGAATCCATTACATGCACTTATGTGCTAATACCCTTAGGAAAGGATTAATCCTCTTCTTCTCTCTCCAGCTTGGGTAAATATCAAGACAGACTGGGTTCTATAGCCTTGAATGGTAACTGGTCTAGGAGAATGATAAAACCTGCGGAGGGTCGTTTATGGGACCTTGTGGCACACAGTGCCAGGTCACTGTATTCGGCTCTTTAAAAAGTCCGGTTGATTCTGAACAAAGCATTTACCACTATAATCAAATCATATGTGCAGGTGTCTGGGCTGTCGATTATTAGAAACTGAGCTGCTTGACACTCATACGCCGAATACGACGGGAGAGTTCATCATATATATATATATATATATATATATATATATATATATATATATATATATAAGTGGGTAGTGAACTATGAGTGCTGGTATTAAAAATAAGTATGGCTGATTGGTTTATTTTATATTTTACAGCTTATCAACGTTTTGCGGGCTACATAAAAGCAGAAAATATTGTTAGATTGTAATGAATGTTTAGGAGATAATAATATTGACTTAATGATACAAGTTCTACTATTTAACCCATACCTGGAGGGAGAAGAGGTAGATTCATACTTTTTCCTTGGTTATTTTCACGTAACTGCAATTGGAACTCGGCTCTCCGATTAAAAATATCGAGCCATTATCGATTACATCCAAGCCCACAGCACCTGGTATTTCCAAGCGGTCACTTATCGAGGTACTGACCAAGCTCGACAGAGACATTACGGGAACCGATGTTTCGACATGATATGGTCGTTATCAAATAAAAAGAAAAGAGGTGGAGAAGAAAAATTCTAGTGTTATATCGGACATTTTTATTTTGTGCCTGGCGATGGCTATCAGCATGAAAATTTGAGTAGCATAGAACGGTGAGGAACATATGTATAAATATACTTATTAACTCTCTCTCTCTCTCTCTCTCTCTCTCTCTCTCTCTATATATATATATATATATATATATATACTGTTGTAGAGTAGTTTTCACAGTGGAGGTTTGTATTTCACTAAGTCGGTCCTAAAAGAGGTTCGACGTACAAAACGTTAGGAACTTGTTATAATAGTTAATGACGCAGCAATCTAGTTGTGGTGGTTGATACTTTAATGTCCGACATCGACTGACACGACCAACTCCACTGAGCGACTTCGCGACTGCTACTATTACTACTTATATGTGGGACAGTCTATTAACAATAGAATAGGTATGTTCCAGTATAAAACTTACTCCGTATGAGTAAAAAGTTTTCTTTATTTATTTTTCATTTTTTACGGAAAATATGAAGAAAAAACAACAAATTTTTTTTTTATTTTTTTTATTTTTTTTTTTAGCAAAATCGTAGCGTATTTCCTACGTTTTTTGATCCACTTTTAAATGATCAGTTGCCTTTTTTTTCTTCTGGATCGGCGTACCACAGGTAAAATTATTTGCATGCGTTGTTAGATCAAACGTATTGAAAATCACCTCCATCGGCGTTTTTTTATTTATTCGCGGGACCGCTGTCAACCACGTCTGAAAAACGTCGTCTGATCTGCACGTGAGTTTTTCCACTTTCACCAAGTACATCATATAGCCAATCCGCTTTTCTATTTTTTTTATATCTCCATAACGTTACCAGAAACAACCTTCCGCTTTGCGCTTCTTAAAGATGGATTCACAGTTTCTGCAGGTTCTTCTTGTTGACTTAAATCATTTAATAATACTGCATGTCCTTAGTTGCGGGTAACTCGTTCCCCAGTTTTTTTCGGTGTCGATTTCATCTTTACTTTCTGGAGCTTGTTTTTTACGTATATCGTCGGTGTTACCCATTCAACTTTTTAAAATACACCGGTTTTCTCTAATCTGTCCAATTCTTTATCTATCTGTTCAACTGAAGCAAATAGCACATTCCTTTTCTTTTTGAATACCGCCGAAGCGTTTCCTTTTGGCTGTAATTTTGCCTCAATCTTGGTACACGTTCCCAAACCTGGAGAAAAAAACAGTAGGAAATGTTTCCTTAAGTTTTCTTACTAATTTTTGGGCTTCTGAGTTTAAACTTTCAACCTTGTAACAGAAAGAATTTATCGGTAGATCCCATAATTGGAATTCTGTTATCCAATCCGTAACAAGTAAGTTCGTGGTATTTTTTTTGACAAATAATTTAGCTTTTCGCGTTTTTTTTTTTTTAACGTGACGTTTGTAACAAATTCTCCATTAAATTGTATTTTTTCTCACGTCACTGACCTCGCGATTTTATTTGTTTTCATTAAAGTTGGTTTCCCCAACTTCTTCAACGTAAGCAAATTTATGATAGATATGTCGGAACCAGTGTCGAGTAGCATTTTTATTTTTTTATTACTTATTTCGACGGTAACAAATTTTCTGGTTATTCCTTCGTTCATTTCGTCGGACTTTAATTTTCTTATTTTATTTTATTTTCCTTACATGCGAAACACCAGACTGTTCTATCTTTTTCGAGTCTTTCTTTATGCAAACATATCTTGTGCAGTCTTCTGCCAAACTCTGTATCGTAATTCTTGGTTTGTTTTCCAATTTTGAAAGTACCAATTTCCTCAATTCTGCGTCTCTTTCCGATACCAGCCCTTGAACAAACGTTAAGCACTTAAAGTTGTCAGCGCTTAACTCTGCTAGATTGAATTCTTCACAATGATTATTCACATTGCTGCGTACGTTATATAGTCTTGTTCTTCATCTTTCATCAGATTCAAACATTTCCACCTCTTGTGAAACAAAGATGTCATTTTACTAGATAATTCACTTATTTACCGCCTCGGTAAAAGTCAACTCGCTAATTTTTTTTCGGCAAAATGTAGTTTACCAATTTATTATGCTCAGCAGTTACTAACTTGCTTAAAAGAAGTCTAACCTTCTTTCCTTCAGACCACGTGTGGCAGTCCTCGTTATACACGTCCGTATATTTTTTATAATACTCTTCAATAGTTATTTATTCATCTGTACTGTACGTGAATATTTCAATTGAATTCCATATTGTATTCTCTGGGAAAGAATCATTTTGTAAATTTTTCTCTTTCCTCTTCTCAATTATTTCCAGAATTTTGTTTTGAAACTCCTGATGCATCAGTTCCATTTCTCGTTGAAACTGCATCTGTCTATTAAAAGTTTCCTCCTGTAGTTGCATCTGGAATGTTTTCTGTTGCTCTAATATTGTCATTTGTTGTTCCGTTTGGAACTTAAAAAAATCCTGGAATATATTTTTTCATTCCTCCATCTTCGCAAAAAGTTTACACAATGCTTAAATATTGTAGAGGGGGGGGGGCAAAACGAATTTGCAATTCGTGACCTATTTGAGAAAACTGTCTTATCGAGAAAAAAGTCAGAATACGACTGATCTTTTCGTCATTGTTGACGTCTTGTCTTTCGAAAAACTTTTCCAAGTTTTTATTTTTTTTAATGTGAATCCGAGATGTTGTTGCCGAAAATTTTGACGAGCAATTTTTTTTTCTTTTTCCTCCATATAAGAACGAATTTCGTCACTAAATAATGTGGAGAGCGAACTTTTTTTTTTCACTGTATGAATCTGAATCCCTCGTACACCACGTACACACGTCGTCAAGTGTTGTAGAGTGAACGAAAAGTTTTTTTTTCTTATGAATCCAAAATACGTTCGTCGCCAAGTGTTGTATATGGCGAAACGAATATTTTTTTCTTTTTTTTTGTTTCCTCCGTATGAGTTTAGAAATCCTGGTCGCCAAAGTTGTTATAGAGTGAACGAAAAATTTTACTTCCTCCGTATGAGAAACGAATCCCTCGTTGCCAATGTGTTATAGAGTAGTTTCACAGTGGTGGCTTGTATTTCATTAAGTCGGTCCTAAAAGAGGTTCGACGTACAAAACGTTAGGAACTTGTTATAATAGTTAATGACGCAGCAATCTAGTTGTGGTGGTTGATACTTTAATGTCCGACATCGACTGACACACCAACTCCACTGAGCTCCCTGGCGACTGCTACTACTTCTACTTATTATATCTGGGAGAGTCTATTTACAATAGAATAGGTATGTTCTAGTATAACACATACATACATACATATATATATATATATATATATATATATATATATATATAAGCTGAAAGGTTTCAAGATAATACAAACGGGAGGCACAATGCCAAAGTCGACAGAGCCTAAAAAGAATGTATTATAATAATATTATTAATACAATAAACTCAAATCTTAGCGTTTCATGTAATAAAAATCATCGGTCAGATATAATCCATTTTCCACCTGATGATTATTATTACATGAAACTCTGAGTAGCGGGTTTTGATATTATTGTATTAATAATAATATTATATATATATATGTGTGTGTGTGTGTGACTTTAAGGCTTATTAGTTTTCTGTGAACAAAACGCATATGTATATATATATATATATATATGTGTGTGTGTACGTGCGTGTGACTTTAAGGATTATTAGTTTTCTGTGGACAAAACGCATATATATATATATATATATATATATATATATATATATATATATATATAAACATTTAAAAATAAAATCAAAATTACTAAAGAACTCTGGATTATTTACCAAAACGGGTTCTTTTCCTATTTTTATACATACCTGCACACACAGACAGACACACAGACACACAGACATTAGTTTTTCTGTGGATAAATGTATATATATATATATATATATATATATATATATATATATATATATATATATATATATATATATGTGTTTGTGTGTGTGTGTGTGTGCATGTGAAAGATAGATAGATAAATAGATATAGAAAAATAAGAATAAGCTGAGATATAAACGGATAGATTGATTGGTATAAAAGGAGATATGAACGGATATGTAGTTAGATATAGAGACTGAAATATGAGATATGAATGGATAAAAAGATAGATAGATAGATAGATAGATAGAGAGAGAGAGAGAGACAGAGACAGAGACAGAGAGAGATTGGCATAAAAGAGATATGAATGAACTGATAAATAGACAGATATAGAGACTGAAATAGATAGCTGTGAATAAACTGAAATAGGAAAGGATAGATAGATAGATAGATAGATAGATAGATAGTAAGACATAGATAGATAGATGGTTGATAGATAGATACAGAGACAGACAGAGATTGACATAAATTGGGATATGAACGCACAGATATGCAGATATGAAGAAACTGCGATAGATGGAATAATTGAAAAGGTAGATAACAAACTGAAAGATGTTGGTTCGTTTTTACGGCCTATCAACTTTTTGCAGGTTATTTAAAGCCAGAAAATATTTTTAGATTGTAAGGAACCTTATTTGAGATAACATTTGTTTTATTAAGAATTGTATAACTAAAGCCATTTGCACGTAAGTGAATATAACAAACTTAATGGTCTCCCCGATTAACAATTCCGAACCATTTTATATTAAACACCTGTGCACCCAGGATTACATCACCTAGTATTCGCAAGCGGCTACCGATCTAGGTACTGCCCAGTCTCGACGTTGCTTAACTTCAGTAATCGCACAGAAACCGGTGCTTCAACTCATTTAGTTGTTAAGCTATGAGCATTTTAGCAGATAGATAAATGTATGGAAAATGAAAAGTTTGATATATATATATATATATGAAATGTGTATGTATATGAATATCAATATATATATATATATATGACATGTGTATGAATATAAATATATATATATATATATATATGTGTGTGTGTGTGTGTAATTATTTATATTTATAATTATATATTATATGAGCGGTACTTATTGGAAAGCGCTCAATATCACTTATTGTATGATGAAACACACCTATTCTAGAGTTAATAGACTCTCCCACCTAATATAAGTAGGAGTAGTAAGAGAAACGGCGGTTGGTCGATGTCGGACAACAGTCGAACTCTCTGCCTTCGGGCAGAGAGGAACCCGGACGAGGCTATGCCGAAGGGTAGAGTTTCGTCCGGGGAGGTAGACAGACCCGATCCCGTTTATGCGGGGTCTACGGGGATTTTTTGGCAGAGCCTACGGGCTCGGGAACCCCACATTAAATTCGGCCTTGTGCCAAATGTGACTGTGTGAGGCAGTTACTGAATAGCGTCGATGTCGGACGACAGTAGTCGATAGTTAGTCGAATACGAAAGTAGTCAGCGACCACAACAAGATTACTCTGCGTAATTCCTATTATATCAAATTCCTAAAGTTTTGTAGGTCGAACCTATTTTAGGACCGATTTAGTACAAATACAAGCCTCCACTGCGAAATAACTCCACAACAGTTATAGAGCTATCACTAAATCGTTGAACGTGATGTGAGTTTATGATGTAAAGTTTCACGACTGGCCCCGATCGTCAGACAAATTGACGATCGCAAAAATGCGTAAAACCCAGGGTCACAAACTCACATCAATCCAATTTATATATATATATATATATATATATATATATATATATATAATCTTAATGTAGAACATAGAAGATTGTCCTTTGTCTTTGTTTTAATGAAAACAGGTATAAAAGAATGTTTTCTGGTGATATCAATATTTCTTAATATATATATTAAATTGCTCTCTTTCTTAACGTTGAGCATTGTTTATTTCTTACACCATAGAGTATTTATATGTATTTGTATATGATCGCTTGCTCGTATACCTAACTATATTTACCCATTAGGTTATATATATATATATATATATATATATATATGTGTGTGTGTGTGTGTGTGTGTGTGGTGCGTGTGAGAGAGAGAGAGTGAGAGAGAGAGAAAAGGAAAATGGGAGATTAAAGTGAATCGATAAGAAAGCAGGTGTAAAACTGAGAAAAATTGAAAGCAAAATACCAGCAATTTTTTTCCAATTTTCAAAAGCTACGCTTTTTAAACTTTCAAGTGCGCTACCCGTTGAGAAAATCCCAATGCCTTTTCCCTCTTTATTTAAATAAACAAGAAATCATCTAAGAAACTCAAAAGCGGTCTTTAAGTGCGGCACCGAAACTAAAATTTTAGAAAAGGTGTGCTTCAATTACTAAACTAAAAAGGAAAAATAAAATTAGAGCCATCATCCACACTGATTTAAGCCGATAGACGACAAAAAAGGTATAAGAGTGTTTTCATAGGTCAACAATGTCAAAAGATGTAAGCAGATGACGCCAGTTGTCTTGCAATTATCCTGTCAAGATGCAAGAAGTAAAGCAAAGAAAATGTCGGAGGAAATAACTGCAAAAAGCAGTACACTGACACACTCTTCTTTTCGCTGATAGATTCTGTTTTTTAAATTTAAGAGTCGACAATATAAAGAATATAAAAAAAATCTGCCTTGTAGTCAATTTTGAAGAATTTTAGACGTGGATATATTTCCTATTGGATGGAAAAAAAAACAAATGGAAGGAGTAAAAAGGGGCGAAAAATGACAGCGAGCAGAAACGCGGAATGAATTTAGAATAGAAAAAAGAAGGAAAGAAAGAAAAGAAAGTCGTAATGTATTGTAGAAAAAAAAAGAGAGACAAGACGTTTGGAAAAGCGGGAAATATGAAATCAAGTTCGTGTCCTTTTAGAAAATTAAAATATTTTACATATCCACAAGAAAAACACTTGTTAGTCAAGTGCACATTCCTCATTGATTTTAACAACTGTCTCCTATCGTTCTAGTTTCGTTTGTTTTGTTTTGTTTTACGGCATATCAACCTCAATGGGTTATTTAATGCCGACAAAATTTTTATCCTTGGTAATATTTTTTTCCTCAAAAATCTTTTGCTGGTAATATTTTCTCTTAAAAAATCTGTTGCTGGTAATATTTTTTGTAAAAATTTATAGCTGGTAATAATTTTTAAAATGTATTGCTGGTAATAATTGTTTTCTTCAAAAATTTATTGTTGGTAATAAATTTTTACAAAGTATTTCTGGTATTAAAACCTATTTTTACGCTTTCATTAAAACCTATTTTTACGCTTTCATTAAAACCTATTTTTACGCTTTCATTAAAACCTATTTTTACGTTTGGGGGTTAACTAGTTGCCCATAGTTGGGACCCTAACAGGCGCTACCACCCCGGATCAGGGTGGTCCTGAGAACACCAGCAATTAAGAGGTGGTTCCACGCTTCTTAAAACCTCCTGATCAGAGGCCTTGCTGCCGGATGTAGTCTATCGTCTTACCCAGGACGTGGATATAGTTTATTGTCATACTCAGAACGTTCCCGTCGTTCTACAAGCTTGTTGATTCCATTTACAAAGAAACACCGCTTATTTTGTTGGGATAAGTTTGTGAGATATTTTTCGACTGAATGTACGGTTAATTTTTTTGTCATTTGAATTGTTCTGGAGAGACCGGAACTCGAGGTTCTTGACAAAATCCAAAGAAGGATCTGCAATTTAATTAATCCTGACCTGGCATCTCGACTTCAGTCACTTTCTCACAGTCGTGATGTATTTCCCCTCTGTCTTTTCTACAAATATTTTCATGGCAACTGCTCTGACGAACTCCTTTCCCTGGGGCCCTCTTACTGTTGAAATAGTTAAATGTAACCTCCACTTCTACCCCAACAATTTCTTTTCTCGCACTTCCGAACTGTGGAATTCCGTTCCTCTTACTTGTTTCCATGATAACTACAATTTTCAAAAATATAAATGCAGCGTCAATCGCCATCTTCTGTTATCTTGAAGGCTGTTCATCGATTATCTTTTCCTCAATCCCCTCCCCTATGCCCAGTCTTTTCTATAACCCCCAGCGTGCTAGTGGTAGTTTTGCCTTGCTTGGGATGAAATGATTAAAATAAATAAATAATTGTCTATATTTCTGAGATGAGGTATTATGTACGCTTTTTGCATTATTCGGACTATTGTCCTCATCTTTGTCGCCATAACGTTTAGGCCATTCAGCATCTGTCTATATTTCTGAGATGACGCATTATGTACACTATTTACATTATTCGAACTATTGTCCTCATCTTTGTCGTCATATTTATTACAACGTTTTGGTCTTTCAGTATCTGTCTATATTTCTGAGATGAGGTAATATGTACACTATTTACATTATTCGGACTATTGCCATATTTATCACAACGTTTCGGCCGTTGTACGCTCCGGCCTTCTTCAGGTGGCTGGAATCCCGAACTAAATCCTTTATTTCGCTCACTGGGGTAGACTGTTCTATTTCCACATGCCGTGTCTAATGGATGTCAGTTATCAGTTATCTCCTGTTAATTCCTCTCTCCAAGTCCTCCACTGCCTTAACCAAGTATTGAACTCACACTCTTTGGGTCCTGTCACTGGATCTAACTAACACCTTTATCCACTGTGCTATGTGTCCTTGATGACATTCCAACCACCTGATGAAGGCCGGAGCGTACAACGGCTGAAACGTATTGATAAATTTCAAAGATGAGGACAATAGTCCGAACAATGTAAATAGTATAAATAAATAAAAATCCGAAGGAGCCAGGTCGGGAGAATACGGTCGGGACTGGAGGGTGTGGACCCATTTTAACTCTTTAAGATTCTGCAAGTTCTGCTTTGCAGCACGCAGTCTTGCGTTGTCGTGATGGAAAATAACACCTTTTCGATTTGCAGTTATTTCTTTCGCTGTCTGGAAGAAGCTCAATGCTACCAAAAGGACACCAATCACGGCTGTTTAACACCCTTGTTTTTGTCATATAGGAAAATCCGACATGGTGCATAAACAAAATATTCGGCGAAAAATCTCAGTAACATTGTAAACACCTCATAGAATGTAAAGTCTTCAAAGCAAACCTGAGCCAAACTGTTTTTCTGAATTCTTGATGACTTGACTGTCCGAAAATGACAACATCAAGATAAAAAAATGGAGAGAAAAAAAAACACAATTATGCGCAACAAGTTTTCGATTAATTAGTAAACTTCTGGACCTTTTCAGGCGGCGTTATAGGATCCAGACGGCTATTTTTTGCACATGGAATTATTCACTTGTAATTAATCTTCGGTCTGGCTGTGAAAAATGTCACTCGGAGGTTAGCATTAAAAAATTATGGCCAATTTTCTATGAAAAATCACTTTTTCTTATTTAAAAAATAATTTTTTTCACTTCAAAACAAATGTTGTTCTTTGTCTTTACGTTAGTGTAAATATTGAATGAAATGAACTAACACCTTCATTGGACGATAGCCCGCTTTAGTTACGGTTTCATCACATTCACAAGTTTATTTCCAGCTCCTCATGAATAGAACGTTAGCAGAAACGAACTATTTTTCATCGGCTGTCAAATTCTGTCCAAGGACGGCTTTTTTTGCGTCTTAACAGTAAAGAAATAGCCGCAGAACACGATCGACCTTGTTCTGTTCCGCCAAGGAAATGCAGTTGAGCTATCGATTTTCAAAATTTATAGCAATCTCTTCCGTCGAAATCTTCGGTTTATTCTCTACGATAGCAAGATGAACGTCTTCATCGACGTCAGAAGATCGTAGCGGAGCTGAGTTGATCGTTTAGGTTAAAAGACGAAATCTGCCAAACCACTTTTTGACCGTCGGAAGAGCCCGATCCAAATAAATCTTGTGAATGATTTTTGTCGCAGTTCCAATG